TCACTTGACTCTGATGATGACTTCCGCACAGGTTGTCGAAACGTCAGTCACTGCCACCGACAACAGTCCTTCTCAGGACTACACTCACCCGGACGATCAGACTACACCTTCACATGTTACCCCCGGGTTCAAACCATTTACTGCAAACATAAGTATATTAAAACTACATTTTTAGTTTTCTTCATACTTTGATGAGACATCTGAGTAAATGTCATTCATTTCTTGCGAGTTATTTGTGATCATAGAGCACTAAAGGACTCTAAATTACCTTTATCTGACATGTGTTTTAAGGGTGCAGCATCTGGGACTTAAATATCCCGTTGCTGTCGGCGACAGAGTTCTTGTGCTTTGCAAGCATGCCCAAGAAATGAGCACAACAGCTGAGTAGTTATCTTTCGTTGTATAGAAATGAAAAATTCTAATAAAATCTACTTAGAAAGCCTTGTTAGACTAGCCGTTTTGTTTCACAACTTCTGAACGGAGTCTACTCTTTGCACCCCTTTTTAGTGGGGCAACTACAAAAGGTCTACCGTCTACAAAAGGTTTATTTATAGCATTTTCCGAACATGTGAGGGAAAGCGGGAACCAAAGTTTTATTGTCTTCGTTTACTACTTCCACGCAAATATTAACTCACACTCTTACTGTCACCACAGTTTTTTTCTTTTCATCGAAGTTTGGGAGAGTGAAACATCAGTATACTAATTGTACACTCTTTGAGGTCTCAGTGTTTACGTGAAAAAAAAAATTGGGTTTACAAAGTTCGGTTGATACTTAAGAAATGGAAATTGCTTTGTTTAGCAAAACGGAATACCATTTTGAATGCTGGGATCGCGTTCCCCTTAATCTCTTTGAAAACCATTAACCGTTGCTCGTAGATCGCACTCGTTCAATTTTTCGTGAGAATAAAGCTGGCGTCATTCCTAAAATATAAATCATAATTATTGCTTGGATTGGGTCGTAATTCATTTTATTAATTCTTAAAGAGTTCCCCTGGTGAAAATGTTTCAAAACTTATGTTAAAAAGTTCTATTGCGCTTTGCTATCTCCGAAGAAAGGAAAATTTCAAAACACGACCAGATGGCCGTTGTCCCCACCATAAAGCAATGAAAAGTTATGAAACTTCGGCAAATTTGTACTCCGCAACTCAATGCAATTCCACTTTAAATTTTGTGTGCTGAGATGTTACTTTTATGTCGTGGCCAAGCTACAAGGTTGGTCACGACTTCTTGCGTGACAGCCTTTCAACGGATTGCATTACATTTTTTGTCATTTCCCCGAACCCTCTTCAACATAGTACTGTGCGAGGCATTTTTTTTACATAAACTTAGACTGCACTGGAGCATTTGTGGGGAGACCGAAATGCTAGGCAAGATGTCAGGTATATTAACTCTGTTTTATGCATGTTGCACTCACGACGTGATGTTCATGGCACTAAAACTAACAATGTAAATTCCTATATTTTTTGATACGAACAAACAAACAAACAAAAAAAAGCCTACCCCATCCATTACGCGTTGTCGATTTATTTTTCCAGCTTAAACTGTTTCAGTTTTGGCTTAAGGTGCGGTCACTTTTATGCTTGAGCTTCCTATCATTAGTCGATAATATACAAGTTCTTTTCAAGTGCTACTCTAGAAGCAGGAACTACCTGTCTGACTAGTGCAATTTAAGCATAAATGGGGTAAGTTTGACCCATCATATCTCTTAAACAAGCACGGTGACCATTTTTTAAATTATAGTTTTTCAAACAGACATCGGAAGGGAACATTAAAGGAAAGTTTTAAAAATTATATTTGGATAATTTTTTTTAAAGGAATCACCTCAAGAAGAGCTAGAAGGATGGAATGGAATTTTCTAATAGCGGTGTATTTGAAAACGAGAGGCATACAGAGAAAAGATGATATT